TTGTTCCTAAATTTCAAATCTACCCTAATCAAAGAGGAGTTATTAAGAACGCAAAGTTCAACATTCGAATGATTTGTTGCAGCCCTCTCGCAAATCTATTACAGCTTTTCTGCAAATCCGCTACCCCTCCCCCTCTTAAGTCTCTATTTGCATTCTCTCCAGATACCAATTCAAACTTGACATCTGCAAATGCTGATAACACTTTAGGTTCAACTCCAAATAAGCATAACAAAAGTGCGTGATAAAGTTGTGTATCATTGGTGTTACCGGGAAGCTTGATAAGACATATGTAAACGTTTGCTGTTTTTGCCAATGTTATGGTCCTTTTCATGTAAATATACGAACATTTTTATGAATCATAATATGACGCAAAGACTCACAAAAACTTTTCTACTGTACCGAGCAGTCCAGGACTTCCAAACTAAAATACTTTCGGTTATTCTGGAAAAGAATCAAGCTGGAATTGACTTGCATCAGATCTTTTTGTTCAGTTGCTTTATTGTGCAGAAAATATATGGCAAACCATAAAAAAGTAGTCACCCAGCATTGATACATTCACTTGAAGACCATTTAACCCACAATAAGTTTCATCAATTTCTTACGATTTCATTCGTAAAGTCCTACTCTTTTCCTTTTTCCAATATATGAGCTCTAGACTATGGGAGCAATGTTGACCGCTTCAAACAAAGCGCTGACCCTCACTCGATTGGGACCGAATTTGTTTTAAACATTTTGGGAAAACTTATAAATTTTAAAAGGACACCATGTGTCGTCAAAACTGAAGATTGTGCCAAATTGTAGCTAGCACGGCAGCTTTGCGAGGGTAGTGGTGATAAGCGGAGACGACTGTTTCCTAGCACTTATATTTGACTAAAACTTCTTATCTCAACGCTTGATTCTCCGTCATCAATCGGACTTCGCTTTTAACTCTCGTCAGCGTCTTGCTTTTTTCGTGCATATCCTCGTGCATTGATATTGTATTACCATGACAGTGTCAGGAAAAACGAAATCGAAGCACAAGAAGTCCAGTCCAGAAGAGTAAGTGTCTCTGATTTTTTTTGTGCAAAAGCTGTTTTGTTAGACAGTAAAAATAGTTATCAAATGGCTTTATTAGAAC